GCCAGGCTGTGGCAGCAGCCCTGCTCCCACCACCTTCCCCTTGGCCACAGCTAAGGGCTTACACTGGTCCCAGCCTCCAGGCAGTGGGGGAACAAGCCCTGCATCTCCCCATGCAGCACCAGGAGGGCCCCTTGCACAAGCAGTGGGATGTCCCAGCCTGCAACCCAAGCACCCTGCACCCATTTTTCCATGTCCCAGAGGCATCAAGGATGCCCCTACCCTCCTCAACTCCTGTTGGCCAACTTACAGGAGAGCCTGAGGGCAGTGGCCTTGGGGCAGCCACCACCTCAACTGCTGCATCCCACAGCCCCAGTCCTCCAGGGCTGGCTGGCCCCAGCAGTGCTCCAGCTGGAGCCACCACCTCCTACAACATCCGCTTTGGAACTACACATCACAGCCTGGGGACACTAGGACATGTCACTGCCAGGCCTTAGCTCTGCATGAGGCCACAAGTCACAGCTCCCCCTGGTCCCTGGGGTCTGCTTCTTCCTGCAAGGGAGAAGTAGTTGCAGGACAAGCTTTAGAGAAATGAATTTGTATTGGGCAGGAACAGGGGTATCGAGTGTCAAGCTGTGCCATGCTTCAGGCCGGAATAATCTACACTGGACTCCTGCTGTTTCTCTGACCCTTCAGAGACGACAAGGGCCCCCACCACGGTCTGCAGCTCCGCGTGGAAGGGGTAGCGCTGCCTCGTCTTCAGCAGCCGGGGCCTCCTGCCGCGTCGGTGCAGGCGGGACACGGCCCAGCCCAGGACGAGGAGGCCTCCCATGAGGACAGCTGCCACGAGGGCACTGCCCACGAACGCTGTGCTGGCCAGGAGGAGCCTCTTCACCGTGCGGCACCGCGCTGGGAGAGGAAGAGAGGTTTGGGGGATCGCACTGTGGGATCGGATTGCACCTCTTGGGCTTCCTCATCTTGGGAGGAAGCAAGTGCTTGCTCCCAGGCTGAGAGACCACCAAGAGCCAGAGCTCCACAGCCCTCTGAACCAGGCCAGCGACTGCAAAATCATGAAGCCATTTGGCCCCAAGTCTCAGCTGCACAAGGTCTGTCCACATACCTTCATACCATGGGGTTTCCTCCCGCATCAGCAGCGGCCCAACCATCTTCTGGTGGAATATCCCCTCTCCTGGGAACTCTGTAACAAAGACAAGGCCCTTAGAGATCCAATTGTGTCCCCTGATCCCTGTTGTGACAGGGCAGTGTGACCAAAAGCTCCCTTAGCTCAAGTGAGGGAGGGGTGCTCCCTTCTGCTGGCCCATGGCTCCCAGAGCAGGAGAGCACCCTCCACCTGGGGACAGCAGCAAGCTGGTCCTGCACTGCTCCCTAGGGACTGGCAGCCTCTCCATGAGGCTGTGTCCAGGCTTGGGGCCCCAAATTACCCTGCTGTGGCTTGGCAGAAGACCCAACTGCTCGGAGTCCTGTAGGGCCCCAGCTAGCCTGACTGGGCAAGCTGTCACTGTGGAGAAGCCACCAGCAGTCATGGACCAAGAGCCCCTTGTCAGAATGTGCCCATAGAAAGCCCCAGAGGTGACAGCCCAGGGCAGGTACCTGGCAGCTCTCTGGGGAGGCCACCACCAGCAGGGCAGTGGGTGTCACAGCAGTCACACAGGGCGCTCTGGGAAGGGTCCTCCGCATTGAGCCAGCTGCAAGGAGAAGGGAGGAGCTGAGGAACCTCATGCCCCATCCCCAGGACCCACACGGTGCAGCTCCAGCAGGTCCTGCAGTCCTCTGGGCTGAGCTGCCCAAGAGGCAGCTTTCCCAAAAGGCCTCCAGAAGGCTCCTGTCCCCTTCATCTGCACCTAGGGGCAGTTCTCCCAGTTACCGTGGGAGAAGAGGCAGTGCTGAAAGCAAGAGGGGAGGCTCGGACCCTGGGAGGGAGCCCCATGGCTTTCTTGCTCTGCCCAAGCCCCTGTGGGTGCTCTGGCAGCCGCTCAGGTGAGGAGAGCGGGCAGGGAGCCCCCGCAGAGGCCGTGCTCACCTGGCAGAGGCATTGCTGTAGTAGCAGGATTTCTGGCCGTGTCTCTGGGCAGCCTGGGTGCTCCAGGCAGCGAGCAGGCAGTGCAGGAAGACCTGCCGAGACACCAGCACGTCCTCAGAGGCTGCACGGGGCCCAGCCACAGCACCACCGCAGGGCAGGGAATTGCATGTTCAGAAGGTAGCATGGGCCACACAAGGCCTTGGTTAGCTAAACCGTAGCCTTGCTTTGAGCTGCAGCCTTCTTTGGGGGCTTTCTGCTTGCTTCGCACACCTACCACACACCTCCACGTCCTTCCTCTTCAGCCCAGGTTTCCCACCCCTGCAGGGATCAGGGACAGCTGGGGAGGGGAGCAGAAGGGAGCCAGGAGGAACAGCACTTGGGTACTCTGGAGCACCCCAGGACCTCTCCCTGATCACCGAGTTCCTCCCTGCACCCTGGTCTCACCTCTTCTTCCGGCTCATCACCCAACATGAAGGCTGGGATGGTCAATTGGAGGGCAGATGCCTCTCTCCGGTGCCAGACAACACTGCCCAGCTTCTGGCCACGCAGACATCTGGGGAGGAGACCAAAGACCCATGAACCACCCAGGGGCCTCTCCAGGGCTGATGCCAGGCTCTGCTCTGGATGAACGTCC